GCGGAAGAAATCGTCTACGCTAGGCGAAACTAATCGACGATTTATGCTTTTCGATTTCCACCGCTGATTGTGTGGATTTAATGTTCGATTTACCGGGTCATACCGTGGACAGCTGTAATTATAAAACACTCGGGGTACTGTAGGAAAGAGATTCTACAAGCGATTGGATTGGTCGATAATACCAGATGTAGAACGAATAGAAGCGTTCGCTTTTGCACTTTTTTCCAACGTGTTCACCCCCATCTCATATTTGAGTATGAGCTAAGACTTACTCTAAGAAGGGAATATTCACGAAGCGACTTTGACTTGGATAGGAGCTCCTCAGGACCTCAAAGGAGTGGGCCAAGAACTCTTTGAGAAAACCTTACTGCGCAATGACACAGCTGTTGAATCACAGTTGAAGGAACAAGGTTGAAAAAGCCTCCTTACCGTAGAAACTTCTACGGCAAAGGGACATTCCCAAGCTTAATATGTCCTTGGTCACTGAGTCTGATCCCACCCTTGATATCCCGCAGCTGTAATCAGAGCTGAACCGATTTTTGTTGGTGTTAGATCTGTGAACTCCGCTCCCAACTCTTCCAGAATACACGCAAATCCTTCCAATAATGAGTAAAGCACCCACAGCTGTCTTTCTGGAGGTTCGAACAAGTGCATTAGTTCTGTTAATGACTTCCAATAGCTCCACTACCGTGAGAGGTTAGGAAGATTGGCCGTCAACACGAGCCCATTCGATTGAAGGCGGGCTTATGACATCAAGACCTAATGGAATCAATCAAATGGATGGTCATTATAGATAAGTAATGATCCAAACGTAAGATAGTTTGAACTTTGTGGAACTAGCAGTGATTTCTAGTACTTTCTTGGGTTATATCTTTGTTTACCAAAGTAAACACTAAACACTAGCAAATTATGCAAGGAGGAGAACTGGATGGAAGGTCCACCAATCGTTATCATTGTCAAGAACGAGGCCTAGGCCTGAATCAGACCGAGCTAATGAGAGAAGTCAAACAAAATTATAGTCAAAAGAACGTGAAGGCAAAAGAAAATTGAAAAAATTGCGTCCTATCACAGTGAAAAATACAGTACCATGATACGGTAAGACTTGCATACCTTAGAATCGGTTTTCTGAAGATAATACTAACCTGAACGGATGAATTTATCGCTTTCAGCACTGCTTCGACATTACAAACCATTCGACCATCAGATACACAATTTCAATAAATCTAGAGTGCATGGCGTATCTAAAAGATATCAGTCAATGCGATGTATTTACATGCCCCATTGAAAGAATTTATCTCGTTGTACAAACAGATTCATGAGGTTAGCTCGGAATAGTGTCAGAGCGAGAAAATTTCCAAATTCTTCGATTCTGGAGAACCAATCCGCTTCAACTTGGGAGCATTTCATCCGATCTCTTCAGCTGCGACTTTCTTCGTCAGATTATGTAATGTGGAGACCTACTCCGATATTCATCCTTTAAAGCCCCAGGTTGACCGCAGAATGCCCTCTAGTGATGGCTCGAACGACTTGGATGCTAAAGAAATCACTATATGGCCTTTTGTTTACTTGTGAATTTGAGAAATTCGTGCTTTATTCGATCACAAATGTAAACAGCACCTTTGAGCAAAAGTTCCAGGCGTTGGTCATCAAAGGGTTTTTTTCAGAGCATATCTTCAGCATGGCCTTCGCAAGAGACCCTTCGTATCCTTTGGTACACGCATAGTGATGGCCGTTACCACAAACATCCGTGAGCCTAGATCGTTTCCAACTCGTTTTTCTCACTCAATGCACCATTCTCAACCTCTTGGACAAGTCGCCACCCTCTACCGTAACCTCGATCGATCAGTACATTTATTTCAGTCAAGCTATTTTCAAACCCTTTCGAAGCATATTCCTTGAGCGTTTTCGTTCTGAGGCTTGAGGAACCACTGAATTCGGTCTGCATTCGAGTACAGACAAACACGCTTACCGAAGCTTCGTAGTAACTCTTATTAACCTGTTGTCAACAGAAACAACAACAACGACAACAACAAGTTTCACAGAATTTCACAGAAATCTTCATGCTTCTGGGTGCACACGCTCTTCCACCAAATACTGATTAGAAGTCTGGGAGAAAGTAAACCCCCTGTATCCCTTTCTGCATTGAGGAGAGTTCCCAGAGTTAAGCAACTCGAAGTCCATGCCAGGAAGGGAATCGAAAACTGTCGAATCTATGAGCTCAGAGAGCTGTACCGAAAAAGGCTTTTTTACCAGTACCTATGTTTGACCTTCGACATTCCGAATCGACTTCTCCCAAAAANAAAAAGCCACCTGGGTCAGGAGAGTCGGAAACTCACTTCAAGAAGGAATGTCATAAGCCCGCATCCCACCGGAAGCCACGCCTCAATAACAAAATTGCAAAAATCGCAAAACTCAAGGGGAAGGCAAGGATTATTGAGTAACATAAGCTCCCCAAAGAGCAACAGCAAGGATTCCTTCTGAACATTCAGATTCAGAATCCAGATAATCCGACAGTTCTTCTCTTGTTCGCTCCCTCCACCATTCCTAGTCAGAGTCTATTATTGTTATCACCCATGCTGCTCTCCGTTCCCGCACAGTCATGGGTGATTCTTCCGTGGGAAAGTCAAACACAGAACATGAAAGGTACACGAACCCGTCGACACCACGACGACTTCTCCTCAATATGATAATTTTTGAAGAATTTCTTTTTATTCATCTATATCTACATAACTTCACGAATGAAGTAAATATAAAACCATATCAAACTACAATAGATACGGAAAAATATTAAATTAATTAGGAATTTGAAGAAAATCAGTAAGTGCAGTGGCAAAACAAAAGGAAAACAATACACAATTCTGTACATATAAAACGACCGTGGAACAAAACCTTAAAAGTACCGGAACAGAACGAGAGATAGAGCATAGGGAAGAGACGGAGAGAAACAACAGACACAATTTCTACAATAAAAAAATGAATAATGTTGAAAACACGCGACATCACGGTGATGAGATCTAAGGCGGGTAGAGGGGGGAACGATTCACAAGCGCGGACTTCGTACGCGACAGCTACCGTATGACAGTACGAGACAGAAAAAAGGGCAATTCTGAACGCTTCATTGCCACGGTTGCCAGACCTTCTTCGATGGTGGTTCTCGGCACGATTCATCCTCACGTCCTGGACGAGCCCAACGCTCGCCACGGCCTTCTTTAGCTTGAGTGGTTCGGCCTGGTGAGCCAGTTGGTTCTGGTGATTCACTGGACGAGATATCTGAAGCGGGTGGCGTGCCAGGTGACCATTTAGGAGGATCGGGCATCGGCTGACAAGTGGTGGTTGTTCCTGATCGAGATGGCATGGCAGCACTGAAAAGATCAAAGGTCAGTATGGACATAGAAAATTACCAGAGCCCTTCACAGGACCACTTTGCGCCTCTGCCCAAATTTTGACGGATTTTTGATTCAGAAGATAATTCAACAGCTGAACTTACTTCAAATGATGCACCAGTCCAAGATGAAATTGCTGTGCTTGAGGGTTGAAGTCGTGTGGCATGGCCATTTGTAGGTAGTTGAATACGGCCTGAGATGCATGGGCAAAACCACGGGCAAAGCCCTCCTCTCGTCCACTTCGGTACACTGCGGCGGGGTCTGAATAAAACATTTGGAAATAAATGAAAAAGAATCTGAAATGATCCATCCAATTGGTCGACAATCAAGTTTGGGACCAGGAAACCGCAGGAAAACCACCCACCTCCAGCGGTCGTTACATTCCCTCGTTGCTCTTCAAGATATCGTACTGTCCATTCAAGAATATCCGCTTTCTCTAGTTTAGAACTGAAAAAATCATTGGTAAATCTGGGTCAGGGTGTTGATCAATTTATCGATTGATTATACCTTTGTTGTGGTGAGACATTGAGGAGGAATTCTTTGAGATACAGCAACGAGTCATTAATTCTCTTTCGTCGAAGCTTCTCCATCATCGGTTTCTTCATCTGTAAGAACGATACTTAAAGAACAAAAAAATGAAAAATGAACTTTCTTATACCTCTTGGATCCCGAGAGGATCCAAAAATATTACACTTGAATGCCTATTCATACAAAACTTACTTTTCTATCGCCTGAAAAGTCAGGACTTGGTGGTGAGTAAGTGAAGGATGTAGTAGGCGAGAGGTGCATACTCTGGAATAAAGTAGAAGTTTAGAGAAAAAACGCTGTCAACGTCAGGTAACAAAATCCGCGAAAACAAGCGATTGAACGTTATAAGCGGCACTGTACATACACGATTCTTCCCAAACGGGAGGTTAGCCTGAAAAATTCACTGTGAAAAAGTCTCACATCAAAGTGTCATCTCCTCAGCCAAAGACTGGCTCCCAAAGAAAACTTATTCAGCTTATTCTCTGCTGCCATGGATCCTTCCGTGAAAGGCCTAGTCGAGGCCATTCCGGCAAAGCAAGGGGCAGGAGGTAAGGGAGAATGTGTTCATCCCACAATTCCTGTCTATCTCTCAAAGACCCGATGCTGTATTGGGAGTGACTGAACAGTCATCTGAAGAATGATGGTGCCCTTCAAGATGCCCTTCAAGGAAGTTCCGCAATCCCTCCATGAATATTAGTAAAGTCAAATTTCAGTGGATTAACTCGGTGGACACACCGTACCGAGCTCACAAATGGAAGGGCAGCTAAGGGGGTTCAGTGAGATCAGCGGAATCCGTGCCCAATTATCCTACCGTAACCGTCATTGGTGACAGCGGCGGTAGTGATGGTGGTGATGGTAGCGACCAGCGACGAGAACGCAACATTGAATGCAGTGGAAGATTCGTATCTTAATGACACCATTAAGATACGATCGGCAAAAATCGTAAGCGATTCGATTTTCCAACGTATACGACGACGAGCAAATGATTACGGGTACGCCAACGAGCGCGCTCGGAAAACATCAACTGATGACTTTGACGACACCGACCGACCGACCAACAGACCGCTTGACGGACCGGCGGCGGCTGCGTGCGATCCGCAGCCGCCGCCGTCGCCGTTCTCATGACCCGTCTTATCAGCACACGCGCCACCGCTACCGGCTACTGTAATCCCTACGATAGGTCTGTGAATCTGAGAAACACCACACGGTGTAAACAAAACACAGCGACACCAGAACACCGAGAAGAATGCAAACATGAAAGGCCAGGAGGAAACGGTAGAGGAAGGGCGTGGGAGGGAGGACCGGTCGATCTTCCAACGAAAAGTTGAAAGGTACCTTTTGATGCCTGAAAGTGGCTGTGAACAGTTCAATAAGCCTTTTCTATCGGTCAGTCCTGGGACGGTGGGCAAGTCCTCACTGCGAACGGATCTTCTTCTCGGAAAGCCTCTTGAGAATAAGCAGTTCACTGAATCTATCAGGTTGAACCTTTCAGTTCAATAGAGGCTGAAAAGTCGTGTTGGATGAGTTCTAGCCGGGTAATACCTGGAGAAAAAGTTAAGTGGACCCCGAAGCGTGCCGGATGACGAATCATGTAAGTGGAACGCATTGAGCAATTCATGAGAAGGTACAGAGCGAGCGATGGAGGTGGTGAGGATGGAGCCCCTTGCTTGCGGCTGGTTGTAATGGCGGCTTGCATCAAAGGGACACGCTCGCTATCAACACACGACCACGAGCCGGTGACAAATGGCGGTGGGAAAAGCGCGGCAACCGCGACGGCAGCGGTATGCTCGGGTAGGGGCGACGACGAGGACGGAATAGGTTCAGCAGAAATAATGATGAGGTGAAGGAAAAACTAGCAATAACCGAGAAAGGAGGAACAGCTACCCGAAATGGAGTGTCTAAAAGGGAGAAATGAATGTAGGAGGCGGGTTTCTAGGGAAGGGGGAGGCAGAGCTAACGTGGAAAATACGCTAACAGCTAGGGCGCTCGAAAGGGTAGCCTAAGAGGGTAAGGCAATGGAGCGGAAAACAGCATAACAGTAAGAGGAACCGAGGGCCAAACACTGCTGAAGAAACTACGAGAATATGAAAAATAGAGTGTGGAATGTGGATTAGGATGGCTAGATGAGAACGGCGAAGAAAGGGGAAACGGAAAATTTAAATGTGAACTTGGAGACGATCTCTTTCCCTTCCACTTCTGCTAAAGGAAGATTGAAGCAGCTAGGACTGATCGGTAAATTAACAGCTGAAGAGCAATGGACTTGGATATAACAGAAAAGACGAACAAAAGATGAAGGAATCTTATCGTCACACGAAAAAATATAGCTATAGCAACTAGTAAGAGCAGTCAAAAGGCTATAGTGACCACGACGAGCCAGACGAAGGAAAAAAGATTCAGAATGTCTAAGGCAGTAACATACCAGCCAAAAGTGGCCTTCGACTGAAGAAGTAGCTTCAGTAGAAACCCTACTCGTCAAACTTCAGTAGGGTCTTGAAATGAAGAACCGAAGATCTTCCTAATCAAGATATATAGCCCGCCGACCAATTTCACGAGTTCATGGCTCAAAAAGTTCCTCACACTAGAAAACCTGTCTTGATAAAATCAGTTCATCTATCGATACTCGCAGATCAGTGAATCAATGCCTGGCATGGGCATAAATCACCAGACTGGTCTGATGGATGCCGGTTGGTAATCAGATAATCATTAACTTAGCAGTCACAGATGGAGCAAACAACTTGACTACAGTAGTGGAAGAAGGTAAGTACTAAGCTTCTGCTGAAGGAACAGGTAACAATAAAGAATGTTATCATCAACATCCAAGAAGGGAAGAAAATGCTCGGAACCACAAATTTGACAAATTCAGACTCTTTCTTGAAAAGTTACAAAAGTAAGGTATGACTGACTGCCTCAGAACGTCGAGCATCATGGATGATGGTCATCATGGCAGTTCTCGATGGGCGTGGCCGGATGGTGTTGTGGGCGTGTCGGTGTCCCGCTGGACGGCTGGTTACCTCCGGACACGCGACCGCTGACTGATCTCGCCTGCACGACAAGAGACATCAGGCAATGTTTCGGGGTCAGACATCAAAGCGACAGACCAGTTCTGTAGCTCGTAGATCACTAGTGTGACTCGTCCCTTTCGGGGATATCCTTTTGAAAGCCGCTTTGGTAACAAACTTGCACGATCAGCAGTCCGGCCATCAACGGCTATCTCTATTAGCTCTTGATTTTTATGATGACGCAATATTGTCGTACTAAAAAACAGGTCCTGAGTGATAAGGGGTGATGTTTCGAGCGCAAGGACAAAGTCCGTCGGACAGCAATCATGAGAGTAGTTAAAAGGGTGTATAGGGGGCGAATGAGCGTAGGTAAAATCATTGACGGTGAGGCGTTGAGCTCATAAAAGCCACTATCAGCGCCACGTTTATGACAACTTCTGGTCCGTGCTAATGACATTACGACACAGTGATAGACGACGAGACACGACTGATCCGCATTCTGAGCGTCCGAGAACCATCGCTGCGTAGGTGCTTCTTTTCAGAGTTGAAGAAGAAAGTCGCTCTGTAAGAGCTTTTGAGATGTCGCTAACGTAAGTTGCTTGATAACTCTATTTCCATTCAAATCTAGTCCGACTATCTCGAAAAGATCCCACACCGAAGCGTCACAATGAGGAAGCACCAGGTAGGTGAATCCATAAGTTCCCATGTGGCGGTGTTCGTTGGAACTCAATCTGTTCGAAGAATTCTAACGGCGTCTTCGGGACCTCGATATGTTCCCGAGGTGTTACTCCTTCTGAAAAAAATTTAATTTTTCAAAAAAAGCAAAATGGCGCCGTTGTAGGCCGCCAGAACTGTACAGGAGGCGAAAATCCAACATTATCTTCAGGATGTCGTTGAGCAGTGAGGCTAAAGTTGCATTTTCCTTTTCAATACTGACCACAGCCAAAAGATGAAGAGGAACTTAATGAGACTCAAAAGCTCCTTGAATATAATTCACCATAGTAATATTGACGGTAAGGGCACTACGGGAAGCAGAACAATCTCCAAAGTCTACGTCATAAACTTAGCTTGTGCTCTGGATAAAAGTCAGGGTTTGGAATAATTTTTCAGCATGAGAACAGATTTTCCATTTCTAACATGATCCGAATTGACTAAAGTTGACAAATGGATAGTTTTTTGCTGACAGGTAGAGAGTCGAACGGGTTGACCGTACGAAACGAACTCTCCTACAACTACACCGTAACCCTTACCCAGCCATTGAGCTTCAGAAAACTAATTAAGGCCTAAAAAGGTATGTAGAGCACAGGTATGGTTCGCTCCCTCTTGGCCCAATACGAAAAAGGAGATTACGGGTACACGGGAGGCCTTCAACAGGGCCGGGGATATATTCGTGGAAATCAGAGACTTACTGGAATTTTCGACGACTGAAGGAACTCAACACTAGCTGGAAGGGTCAGGGAAACTGAGCGTCATAAGGAGAGCCGAGGTTTCGAGCAAATTCTAAAGTGACAGCTAGAATTCTTCTAGATGGACCAAACGTTTTCAGATTCGCTACGGAATCCGCCGGATTTCAAAAAGCTCTGAAGCTTTCCGGCGAATATAGTTACCCATTCTGTCGCATATCTCCTAAGTCCATGTTGACCTCTATTTTCATAGAAATTATGGATCTATTTATATAAAAAATGAGCTGTCGAAGATATTTTAGGCGGCCGTTGACGCCACTGGACGAAGTTTCCCTATCTATCACAAAAGCTCACGCACGGATTTAGAAAATGCATTGCAAAACAGCTGCTGACGGAAAATCAGGTATGATCGGCTTCTGCGGATAAACGGCAATGCGGATGAGAGGGTATCAAGAGTACTACTGACGACAATGAAGAGGCCAGAAGATCTAATAATCACGGATTGTAACTGCTCATAAATCCCTAAGCAGAGGCTCATCTAAGGCCGATGCAGGTGCCCAGACGTCAGTTGCCGACGGCATATCGCCGAAATCCAAAGGACTGGTTTTATGGCTCTGACAAGGCTCTATAGACAAACTCTTCGAGGGGAATATCACGCCTATGTGTGGGATTGATAAGGGATTGGGTCATAGCCGTAGGGGACTCTGAGGGTCAGTTGGATGTTGATATAAGAAATTCTTACAAACTGAAGTAGTCGTGGTATGTTTATAGGCCCTCGACCATTCCTGCCTCCTCAAGCTAAGAAGCAAGAAAGAAGAGCCCTTTCTACCAGGTAGCTGATAGAGTTACAGATTTGAAGTTGTCTCGAAGTTAACATAGAGAGCACATCGGCATGCGAAAGCAGGCTTTATAGAGGATTCTGTTTGAGATGCAAGATTATATTCTCGATAGACCTACTTATCCGCTCCGTCCACCAAGAGGGTCCCATTTGGGTACCATCTTGACTTGAAAAAAGGATTTGGAGCAGAAAACAAATTGTGTACCTATTCAGCTATGTTGTTGTTGTTGCTACAATAACCCAGTACGCCCAAGTCGAGCCAGTACGCCCCAAGTTGAGCCTGCTTGTACCGTGAAGCAACTGGAAACGAAATGGTTTGGTGACCTCGAGGAGAAAAACGGCCCACTGGATTCGATCCACATAACAGACACCTGCTGCGCTTTCTACTCCCATTCCCACTTTCCCTTTCTCCTACTGGACCCTTCAAAAGGGGGCCTCTATCGGAGGACAGGACTAACACTCAAGAGTTTGAATCAAGGGAAGAAAGGCTTGGTGGGAGTCAAACTCCATACAAGGCTGCACAGGCTGTTCAGTCTTTAACTTGCGATCTAGTCAGAAAACCTATTTTCTGAAGTTACCATGATTTCAATTGTTTGTCTTCGCAAAATGTAGACTTTCACAGCCTCTGAGAGATTCGTTTCATGACTGTTAGCTGGGCTCCCATAACCAAGGCTTCCAGTGGTGTTTCGCCCTCAAGAGCCTCGGTAAGATGGCAAAAGTGCTGGAAACACATGAACAATTTCCCACAAANACAAAGTATTACAAGCTATGAACTTCTCGAGCTGTTCCTGTAATGCTCAAGACCCAAAAGCACAGTTAGAAGTTAGGCACAGTTTATAGTAACTTCTAACACCTTCGTTGAGCTACAGGATAACAATGTTGAAG